CCACATAATTTAGTGTAGTTTTTCTATATACATTTTATTCATTTCAGCATATTATAATTTCGACTTGATTTGTACCTGAATTACTCATTTTTGTTTATCCCTATGAAGTACCCATCTGATTGAGAATTAAGTATTTTATGTTCCAAGTTCTATTTATTGCACAATATTTCATTTGAATGTTCATGTATTGTACACGTGTATGCTTGGATTTTTTTAAAAATAAAAGAATTCTGTCAATGTAAAGAAAAAAAAATGCCCGCTTTCTTCCATCATTAGCAACTGTGCACATCATCTTTAGTACTTACTATTTGAGACGTTGGCCAGCTCAGCCTCTCTGGGCCAGAGTTCCCTCATCAGTAAAATGTATTTAAAAATAGTTCCCCATTCGTAGGGTCCTTTGGAGGACTAAATGAGTGCTTAGATTGGTGAGAGGACCTACCATATATGTGCTTACTGTTTTTACTTTTGGTCTTTACCAATCATTATTCATTTATTTGCATTGCTTTGATTATTAGCATGGTTGAGAGTCTTTACCTGTGCTTAGTGGCTATTCGTATTTTCTATATTGTGAATCACCTGATTATGTCCGTTGCCTGTTTTTCAGTCAGGATTGCTTGTGTTTTATAGTTATTGAACTGCAGAAGCTCTTTGCATTTTGAGGATATTGACCCTGTATTTTTCTTTCTTTTTCAAAAGATGACCAGTAAGGGGATCTTAACGCTTGACTTGGTGTTGTCAGCACCACGCTCTCCCAACTGAGCTAACCGGCCATCCCTGTATAGGGATCCAAACCCGTGGCCTTGGTGTTACCAGCACCGCACTCTCTCAAGTGAGCCACGTGCCGGCCCTATACTGTAAAGGGTGCTAACACTAATAAAGCGCATGTATTTCACAGGGCCTTAACCTTTAGCTTAGTAGGGCCACAGCCCTTAGCTGTTAGAAGGACCACAGTCCTTAGATCAGGCTGTAAGTTAGTAGGATCTTTATCTTAGTAAGATCACAGTCCTTAGCTGTTAGAAAAGCCAAAGCCCTTTAGTTTAGGCTGTAGCACAGTGGGGCCATAGTCCCTAGTTTTAGCAAGGCCAGAGCCTTGTAGTTTGAGGAAGAACCTAACCTTTTAGTAATGCACATAGAAATGCTAAGTTTGGGAAAAAACAGAAAACTTTTACAGGACTAAAAAGTCTCTGGTGTGGGTATGAGAATTGCAACACAGCATAAGAGCTTGCTCTAAGGGCAGACACCCTTGGTGCAGCTAAACCTAATTATGAGAAAATATGTGTACTGAAAGCTTCAAGGCTACTCTGCCAATTAGCTGCTGGTTCCACATTTCACCTTCAACTGCTTCTCTAAGTTTCCTAGGGAACTAAGGGTTGCCATAACAATTACCTCATTGGTTCTTTTGTATGTCACATAGCTTAGTTTTATGACTCCTTTGATGGTAAATTGCTTAAACTATTTTTAAGTTGCACCTGCGTTAATGAAAATTGTTATGTAGTCAGTTTGTTTATGTTTTCACTATGACTGATTAACCACCTGTGTTCTTTTCTGTAACTTTGCCTGCACTCTAAAAAACCGAGAAAAGCCCTGATTGGGGGTCATTTCCTAGGAATTCCTTCTCTCTTGAAGAAGTCGTCTCCTGGGATTTAATCCCGTCGGGCCTCTCACTGCTCTGGAAAAATGGGCTTTGAGTAATCCTTTGCGTCTCTGTCTCAGTCACCCCGAGGGAGAGGTGACACTAAACCCTGTATTTTTCATACATGTTACTTTTTTTTTTTTTTTTTGGCAGCTGGTTGGTAAGGGGATCCAAGCCTTTGATCTTGGTATTATAACACTGAACTCTAACCAGCTGAGCTAACCAGCCAGCCCTTATGTTACTTTTTTATTTTTTATTTTATTTTATTTTTATTTTTTTTTAAAAGATGACCGGTAAGGGGATCTTAACCCTTGGCTTGGTGTTGTCAACACCACACTCAGCCAGTGAGCTAACCGGCCATCCCTATATGGGATCCGAACCCGTGGCCTTGGTGTTATCAGCACCGCACTCTACCGAGTGAGCCACGGGCCGGCCCTTATGTTACTTTTTTAAAAACACAAATTTGGTCAGGCGGGCCCGTGGCTCACTTGGGAGAGTATGGTGCTGATAACACCAAGGCCACAGGTTCAGATCCCTATATAGGGATGGTCAGTCAGCTCTCATGGGAGAGCGTGGTGCTGACAACACCAAGTCAAGGGTTAAGATCCCTTTACTGGTCATCCTTAAAACACACACACACACACACACACACACATACACACACACACACATTTTGTCATGTCACATAACCTCTCATGACTCCCTCATTAACCCAGCAAAAAGTCCTAAGCCTCGAATTCCCTGCCATCCATGACCTAGCCCCTGCACATCACTCCAGCTTCACTTTCTGCCAACTTTCAGAATGCTTTTTCAGTCTTCAGCCCCTCTTGGAAGTATTACTGGGTACAATTAATTCCCTTTTTGTTTTCTCTCTCTTTTTTTTTTTTTTTTAAAAAGATGACCGGTAAGGGGATCTTAACCCTTGACTTGGTGTTGTCAGCACCACGCTCACCCAGTGAGCGAACTGGCCATCCCTATATGGGATCCGAACCCGTGGCCTTGGTGTTATCAGCACCGCACTCTCCCGAGTGAGCCACGGGCCAGCCCCCTTTTTGTTTTCTCAACCACCCCTCCCCACAGCCTTCTGTATATCTGCAGTCTTAACCACACGCATAATCCCTGATCTTCCCAACATCTTATATGAGTCCCTTGGGGGCAGGGCCTATAATAGAGTAGGTACTCATTAATGTTTATGGAATTCACAAAAGAATAAATGATTGATTTTGCAAAACTTGGATATAGGCTTCCTTAACTATGGCAAGCAAACACTTTCTAAATGTTATGCCTTCTCTGGCTGGTTGGCTCAGTTGGTAGAGCTTGGTGCTGATAACACCAAGATCAAAGATTCAGATCCCTGTACCAGCCAGCCACCAAAAACAAAAACAAAAAACAAACAAAAAAAATAAATGTTACTCCAGATTTTCTATTCAGGATAAAGAAAAGAGAGAAAAAAAATGTCTTTTCTCCCATTATATTTTACCACAAAGTTTTGGATCAAGACCAGGGTCGGCTGTCAATGATCTCCATCGTACATGTCAGGACTGAGTCAGTACCAGGTATGAACCACTGAGAAGGCAAAACTCTCTCATGAACCTCTGACCTAAACCTATGTAAGCCTGTATTGTGCACACCACCTCAGGTGGCTGCCTCAGGAATTGGGTATGACTTCGGCCATGGACAGTTTGCCTCACAGGCAGTGGAGCCAGTGGAGAAACCTGGCAGACACCACCTTAACCAAGTGATCCATGTTCACATCATTAGCAATAAGACATGTAAACAACATGAACCCCCGATGTCATGTGATTAGAAGGGCACATCATCTCTGTGACATTCTTGCCAAAAATTCATAACCTCAGTCTAATCATGACAAGTCATCAGACAAATCTATATTGAGGGATGTTCTACAAAATAACTGAACTATAATTTTCAAAAGTGTTAAAGGTCATGAAAGACTAAGAAAGACTGAGGAACTGTTACAGACTAGAGGAGACAAAAGACGCATCACAATTATATTGCATTGTCCTAGATTGGATCCTGGGACAGAAAATGGTCTATAGTTTAGTTAATAGTATTGCAACAGTGTTTATGTCCTGATTTTGATGATTACAGTATTGTTATACAAAACGTTTAAGGGAATCTGAATAAAAGATACATGTATAGGAACTCTCTGTCCTACTTTTCAACATTTAGGTCTAAAATTATTTACAAATAAAATTAAAGAATATTATTGTATATTGAAAACCACAGTAACTTTGCCCTTGAGATTCCAGAGCCCATCCCAGAATGCCCAGGGCTTCTAGGCCTGGAAACATGGCCATAAAATTGATTGAATAATAGGCCGCCAGTTTTCAAACTACCATACTATTCTGAGCTACCATACTATTCTACTTTCCAAAACATTGTTACTATGTCTCCATTTTATTTAATTATATTTTCAGCTTCTCATTTAAAGGCTCTAGCATATTCCTCCATCCAAGAGATGTGTTTTAATTCATTTACCCCATCCCCTTCTGTTGATCATTTAAGTGGTCTTCACGCTTTGCCACAATAAATAATACAATGATGAATCTCATAAAAATCGTTTTGCACATCTTCAATGATTTCCTTGGGATGAATTTGTAGCAGAACTGTAGTGTTCTTTCTTGTGACTATTTGTTTAAGTGTCTGTCTTCTACTCTACAAACTCTTAAAGTCCTACACAAGTGGGATCTGTCTCGTCAATCTTTGAAGCCTTAGGACCTGGCTCTCATGATATGTTTGTTTCGTTTTGTTTCTAAATTACATATTGTAGAAATACAATATGTTTAATGTCGTTATACTTCTTAAATATCTGTTTAAATGTCACCGTTTCCCACTGGATTGCGAGCCCCTACAGAGGAAGAGGTCTATTTTATTAATATTTGAATTCAGTGCTTTGTCGAATATTAAAATCTGGCATCAGTAGGCAGCATTTCGTGTCTATTATTTATCATTATACACAACTGGCACTCACTGATTTTTTTTTTTTTTCTTAATGACTCATTTTATCTACACTTCCCACATCGGTAAGGCACAGTAAGGTGCACACAGTAGGCGATCAATAAATACTTGTCAAACGCCTACACGAAGGAATGAACTGCAAGAATGAATGCACCTTCCATCACGCCTACCACCCTGAAGAATTACATTTCCCTTTATGTTTAGTGGGACGCGCTCCTATGAAGTTTAAAAGAGCGACTTCCTACGGTCCCTAGTCCGCTTCCGCCCCCCTAATGCCACAGTGCTTTATGGGAAAGGTAGTTCTTGCGCTCGTCTGCCCGCCCCTAGCGAACTGAGCCCAAACTAAACTTCCCAGCAAGCAGCGCGCCAGCCTGGGAAGAGGTGCAAGATGGCGGAGAAGGGAGACAGTGTTTTGGAACCATCGGCAGCTTCCACTGCTCCAATTTCATTCGGCTTCCTGCGTACGTCTGCCCGGAGGCGGCTGGCGGACCAGGGAGACTGCGCGGAGCTGGCCTTGGAGGAGAAGAATTTCTTGAAGACCGTGGAAGGGAGGGAGCTGCAGAGGTGAAGCGCCAGGTCTTGCATCCCTTGGAAATCGGTGCAGTGAGCGCAAGCGGGAGGGCGGAATCTGAGTTGTCTTGGCGACTGTGGCCTGGAAAGCCTGAAACAGCCTGAGGAAATTCGTGGAGGCGAGAAGTCGAGAGTTTGTAGGAGAGACGGGGAAATTAGGCCTGATGGCCGTGGAGATTGAGAAGAGAGGACCTGAGAGGCAGTGTCTTTAGGACTTGGTGGGAAATGGGGCGGAGCGGCAGATTCAAGTTGAGGGAGGCCATCATCAACTTTATTAAGAAAGGAAAGTCTGAAGGGCCTAGGGGAGGGACTTTCAGAAGAGAATCAACCCTCCGAGAGGCGGCTATTCTGGAGCCTGGAGCTGAGGAGAGTCTGAGCTGAAGGTGATGATTTGTAGGTCACTGTGAAAGCGGGTCTTGGAATGGACAGAGGGTCCAGGAATGATTCCTCAAAGACAGTAATATTTAAGACTTGTGGGGAATCGGGGAGAGTATCCAAAGGATGCACCATCAGATACATAACAGGAGAGCCAGACAGGAGAACTGAGGGCATGGTCATGGGGCCGGGGATGAGTTTGGCTCTTGTGTTTTCTCTGAATGAAGGAGTGTGGCTCAGAATGCACTGACCCTGCCACTCTCCCAGCCTCACCCCTCTGTGTCCACATCAGTGTGAAGCCCTCAGGAGCCCCCAAGGAACTTGTCATCCCTTTGATCAAGAATGGTCATCACAGGCAGCCACAGGCCCAGTCCCTTGGGCCATCCATGGATACTGAAGTCTTGGTAGATGGGGTGCTGTCCCAGGCTGTGAAGGAGCTCCTTGAGGGTGAGTGATCCCCCTTCACCATGCCCCAGTGAAAGAAGAAGGGGAAGAAGGGGGAAGGATGGGGTAGGACCTCATTGCTCCCTCCCATTCTTCCTTAGAATCCAAGAAGTCTCAGGAGGAGAGAGAGAATGCAGGTGTCGACCCCACGCTTGCTATCCCCATGATCCAGAAAGGATGCATCCCCAACACGGAAGGGGCAGACAGCGAACCCCAGGCTGAGACAGTGAGCTGGTCCCTTGCCCCCTTTCTTCCCCAGTCTCTTTGCCCTGTCTGCCAGGCTTGCCTCCTTGCAGACAGCAGGGAAAGTCTGTGTGTGCGGGGGGCCTGCTGCCTATCCCTTCCTCTTTTCATCCCTTTTGGAAACATTAACAAATGAATCCAGATACTGGGATGTGAAAAAAGTATTTGGATCTGGAATTAGCTGAATGAATGAATGAAGAGCAAAGGAAGGGCCAGCCCAGTGGCGCACTGCTACAGTGCGCCGTGGCGCTCCCGCCGAGGGTTCGGATCCCACATACAGACCGGTTCCCACTCACTGGCTGAGCGAGGTGCAGGGAGCAACACCGAGGGTTGCGATCCCGTTGCCGGTCCCGGGCCGGTATGGGCGCGACACTGAGGGTTGCGATCCGTTGCCGGTCATGAAAAAAAGACAAAAAGGGAAAAAAAAAAAAAAAGCAGGAAATGTAAAGGCACTGATGGTAGACACTGCCTGGAGTGAGGAGCACCGAGGAGTCCATTGTGGCTGGAGTGGAATGACTGAGGGGGAGGGGCAGGAGATGAAGTCAGAAAGGAGGTAGAGGGGGCTAGACCAGGCAGGGCCTTGTGAGCCATGGTGAGAACTGTGGCTTTTTCTGTGAGTGAGATAAGAGCCTTGGGCAGTCTCTGAGCAGAGAAGTGACTTATGATTTGACAGGATCCCTCTGGCTGCTGTGAGCAGAACAGATTAGTAAGCAAAGGTGGAAGCAAGGTGACCGGTGGTCCAGACTAGAGGTGATGGGGACTCAGACCAGAGTGGTGGGAGTGAGGCCTGGAAGGATAGGGAGGGTTTAGTGAGAGAGGGAAGAGCAGGGTGAGTACTCCTAATGGCAGCAATAGCCCAAGCAGTATCACTATGACAGGAAAAGAGTGTGGTGTGTGTATGTCAGTGAGGCAACTTGTGATGTGTCTGGAACAAATATAAAAGATTGAAGGAGTGATGATTGGAGATGACAACAGGAGAGGTGAGAGGTGTATCCACAGGAATAACCAAGTCTGTTTTGTACTCACAGACCCAACTTTGCACCTCTTCATTCATAAATTTTTTGTAGTGTTTCTTTGGGGCCTAGTTCTACAGCTCCACACCACCCTCTCCTACTGAACTGTTCTTGTCAGCCTTCAGATGTACTCTGGTTTCTTTCATCTTAAAAAATAAAATAAAATAAAAAAGACTCTTACTCTTCATCCTGTTCCAGCTTTAACCTCATTCCTCTAATTTTCCCTCCTCCTGGCCTCTTGCAGCCTTGCAGCCTTCCATATCTCAGTTGATTCCATCCATACTTCCTTTCACTCAGCTTAAAAATCTCGGAGTCATCCTTGACTCCCCTCTTTATTTCATGCCCCATATACAATCTGTCAGCACAATCCTATTATCTCCCTTTTCAAAATACATACACATAGAAAAAATAAAAGATAACCAAAAAAAAAAAAAAGAAAGAGAGAGAGAGAGAAAAAAAAAAATCCAAATACATCCAGAATCTGACGACTTCTCACTATCACTGCTACCACCACAAGGGACTGCCACCAGCACGTCTCATTTGGATTATTGGAGTAACTTCCTCACCAGTTCCTCTTGTGGCTCCCACCTGACCCAAGGGCCTCTGGCTCCTGCCCAGCTCTCCTGATTAATCTCTTACCCATCCTTCTCTGCCTCCACATCTCTGTTTCAGTCGTGTTGACTTTCCCAGTACTCTTCACGCATACCAAGATTTGTCTTGCTTTAGGGCCTTTGCTCTTACTGTTTTCTCTGCTGGGAACACTCTTCATTCTCATATCCTCATGGCTCCCTGTGGCATCTCCAGGTCTCTGCTTAAGTGCCTACTCAGTGGCACTCCCTCTCCATCCCTCTGCATCCCTGTAATCTGCTTTATTTTTCTTCATATAATTTATCACCACCTGACATATCATGTTTTCTGTATTTTATTTATTGTGTGTCCCCACAACTAGAATGTAAGCCCCACAAAGGCAGGGTATTTTTTCGGTTTCGTTCACTGCTTTATCCCCAGCACCTAGAACAGTACTTTCCACAGAATAGGTGCTTTACAGATATTTGTGGAAGGACTGAACATAGAGGAGTAAAGTGAGGGATGGCAAGAGGAAATCAAAATTCCCCCTTGAGCCGACTGGAAAAGAAGCATAGAGGCTCACACAGTGGGTGTTAGCAGGTGCACTTCAAACAGGGCCCAGCAGAAGCAAAGCCTGACCTTCCCTCCTCTGCCTGAACCTGTAGGTGCCAGAGGAGGCTGATTATGAGGCAGTCCCTGTGGAAGCCTACGGGCTGGCCATGCTGCGGGGCATGGGCTGGAAACCTGGCAAGGGCATCGGCCACACCTTCAATCAGTGAGTTCTGGGATGGGGTGAGGGGACAGACAGATGGGGATGTGAACAAGATCCCTGTGGTTAATCACCGAGAACCATCCAGGCAAGGAGGGAGGATACGTTATTATAGTAACTAATTCAGTAGCCCCTTCCACTGCTGTTCCAAATTCCTGTTTGCCTTGTAAAACTCCATAATAGGATCTGGTTTATGTAAAATTTGCCTCTCTGGGCATCAGTTTCTTCATCTGAAAAATGGGTAACAGTACTGATTTCACAGATCTGTTGTGCAAGTTAAATGAAATTATACACATAAAGTATGTACAGTAGGCCTTGGCCCTAAGTAAACGTAGATTAAACATTTGCTGTTATCACACAGACTTACAACCCCTTCTTCATAATTGCAAACTCCAAAGACTTCTGAAGACTAAATATTTTTTTCGTACACCATTTGGCCACCAAACATGACCTGAATTGGCGTTGGGCATTTTATAGTCTGTTTTTCCTGCTTGGTGTGAATATTCCTATGATTTCCCCTGTAGAAATATTAGTGTATTTGGTTACAGGGATCTGCCTCAGATCCCACCGTAGACACTACATAATAGATGGTATATGCAGCATGTTATTAGGTAGAACCAAAAGAAATTGCCGTTTTTGTAGGTCAAAAACAGTCCTAGTATGAGATTGGAAAGGGTATTCATGAAGATATTTTTGGGGGCTGGCTGGTTAGCTCAGTTGGTTAGAACACTGTGTTGATAACACGAAGGTTAAAGGTTCAGATCCCCGTACCAGCCAGCCACCAAAAAAGAAGAAAAGAAGATATTGCTGGAGTGGGAAGGGAGGGGAATGAGGCATTAGAGACTGTTACATACCCTACCCGATGATGACCAGTGAACCTATATTCGCCCCTGCAGAGTAGTGAAGCCCTGCATCAACTCACTGAGGCCCAAGGGGTTAGGGCTGGGTGCCAACCTGACCGAGGCCCAGAACTTGGCCCCCACCAGCCCGCACCGCCTGCTAAGTCCAGGTGAAGAGCAAGAGAAGGATAAGGAAGACCAGCCTCAAGGGCTAGTGCCTGGACGAGCTGTGGTGGTCCTTTCTGGCCCTCATCGAGGCCTCTATGGGAAAGTAAGGAACCAAGATATCCTGGGAGCCCCAGACAGGCAGAAGGGAAGGTTAATTTGAGGGTCAGAGGGAGGAAGAATTGGGTCTGGGGTAGAAAGACTGGGACTGCTAGTCTTTCAGGCCTGCCCAGCCCACTGCCTCACTAGGTAACCCAGGACTACTTACTGGGCCTTTCTGAGCCTCAGTTCCCAACTAAAAGGGAGAGAATGCCATATAGCACAGTCCCTGGGGTTAAATGCTTAAAGGATGTCTGAGCCCCACAGGCTGCTGAGGGAGGCACAGACACCAGGCCTGGTCCCAGCCCTCAGAGGTCACATTCTGGTGGGAGTGCCACAAGGGTCAGGCCTTTTGGAAGTAAGGAGTGGACAGCTTTGTCATAGAGATGTGGGTGGAGTCCCCTCAACCTCTGCTAACTTCTTGCTCCCAACACTTTAGGTCGAAGGCCTGGATCCTGACAATGTTCGGGTCATGGTTCGTCTGGCAGTGGGGGGCCGTATGGTGACTGTCAGTGAGTACTGCCTGCGGCCTGTTACTCAGAAGGAGTTTGACAAGAACTCTTTGGATCTCAGTGAGTAAGCCCCTTACATAGCTCGGGGGGGGGGGGGGGGGGGGGGGGGGGGG